TTTTTTTTTTTGTTATTCATCACGAATGTAGGTGGGTCATATCGCATTAATTGCTTTCACAAGATGATGAGACAATTTTCACATTTATTTTATTTATTTATCCATTTAAGTAAATCTCTTAGGGCTTGATTGTTTACAAATTACTTTACTCATTTTTATTTCAACTCAAAAATTAACTCAATTTTAATTCAACCCTACTCTCTTTAACATTATTTATATAATTAAATAATACAACCATCATTCTTACACATTACATTAACTTTAATTTACTATTCATCCATTCACATAATTTTAACTAATTATCATTTCCAATCATTTCCAATCATTTATTTCTTACTTTTACATCAAATCAATTTTAATCATTTTATTTTAAATATTATTTTAATACATTCTTAAAATTCCACTAACGACTAACCATACACCTTTTTTTCAAAATTAATTATAGTTAACCAAAATAATTCATTTTGAATAAATTATTCCATAAACAATCAAGCACTTACCTTGTGGTGTCTTCTATGTGGTCCACACACTTTCACATTTGATATCTCAAGACATTAAATGCAAATTGACATTAAATGCAAATTGATATGTGTTAATGTGTTCTCATTAATAAGAACCCATATCTCCAATTTTATACTAACTCCATTTCAAAATAAATGTCGTTTTGACTTTTTTTATTCATTCATTTTGCTAATTAATGTCTAGATACATAGCAAAATGAATGAATCAAAAAAGTCAAAACGACATTTATTTTAAAATGGAGGGAGTATTATATATTTTTATCACAAAATAATATAGATGACATGTTATCGTCAATTGAAGCAAGTAATAAATACAATATATGGTTGAACAAAAACTATTATTCATAAATGAATGTGAGAGAAATTGCATACCTCCAAGTGAGCGAGCTTTGGTAACAGGTAGACACTTATCACTCTTGCTCATTGTGATTTGTCCATTATAATGTTCTTCTTTTTTTTTTTCCAAAACGATAGATATTATTATAAATCAAAATGCACAAATGTGCGAATACAAGCAGCCCCTAGCTGAATGGAACAACCAATAGCTGAAAAAGTGGGATGACATGTTAGAAGACCGCCTAGAATCCCGACGCTAGCAAAGCTAGAATAAAAAACTCGAAACTACACTAGACCAACAACACAACCAAAGAACTGAAACTAGAAAAATAAAAGACTTTCCATTATAGCGTTCTTCATGCAATGACTTTCAATTTTATTCTTCTCCTAATCTCTCAAATGATTTTTGCACTTTTTTTTTTCATCTATTTCATTTTTTATTTTTCTAAGCCTTTCACCTTATCAGGTTTTTGCATCAAGCACAAAATTAGGAAGTTGTAAATCATTTGTTTGATGTTCTCAAGTATTCATAAAATAATGTCTGTTACAATATTCTATTAACAATGGCAAGCAATTATGATATTTCTAAAAAGAAAACTCTGAATAGAAGATCAAGATGAAGTGGTTTCCTTTTGTTTCTCTTTTTTTTTTTTTTTTTTTTTTTTTTTTTTTT